GCTACACCTACCCTGGGGCAGGTAGTTTGCATACAATGTAAGGGAGGGAAAGAGGCTGCTTGCCCACTGCTCCTCCCTGTTGAGCTTGTTGCTTTTGCTGTCTTCCGCTGCCATGAACAGTTGCCCTCTGCCAAGTGCCACCCTGTCTTGGAGCCAGCTGAGTATGGACTGAAACCGCCACAAACTGTGAGTTAAATAAACCTTTCCTTCCTTAATATTGGGACTCAGGTATTTTGTCTCAGCAACAAGAAAAAAGTACCCAAGACAGAAGCCATGAAGGCTTGCAGTCTTGGTACCAAAGCCCTGTCTTTGTGTGCACATGAGAACTAACACCAGGCACCAGCTCGCCAGCCCCCAGAGGATAGGGCTGGGGCTGGAGACACTGTTCCGTCCCCGGGCAACAGGGCAGTGAGTTGGACCTTCGGCCTCCACCAACACAGTCTGTGGTTTTAAAATGTTGTTGAAAGATGCTCGATTTCATGGAGGTCCTTGGGACCATTCAACAGTCCAGCTTATTTAGACACCATGGCTTTCAGTGACTTGTTCTTCAGGAGTCACCTGCACTTTGTGAAGGACAGCCTACCCTGCTTGGTTCCACAAGCCCATCCTTGGGGATGTGGTTTAGCAAGGAGATAGTTTCCCTTACAATCTTTAAAACTTCAGCAAGGTAATGCCGCCAGGGTGTAAACTAACAAGGCATCAGACAGGACTTTAGAAAGCAGGAAGGGAACAGGAGAGGGCGGAGTGAGGAGGGTAAGGAATCTGAGAATCATCTGGTTTCCTCTGCTGGACACGTGACCACACAGTATGATTTCCTAGAAACAGGGGCAGTCTTGCCATCCACGCCACCTCTGCCCACAGATTGTGAACATACTAACCCGTGGTTCCAACCATCAGTTTTACCAGCGACAGGGAGTTTTGAGCTTGCCTGTCTGGATTCTCCATAATCTCAGTTATTTCTCATGTGTAGGCTCAGATGGACGAGGATCCTGCCATTCAAATGTCCAGCCCTTTTAAGTTGTAACTTTCTCACCAGGTCATCACTGAATCTCACTACAAAGGCATGGCACACAGTGTTTAATAAATGTTTATTGAATGAATAAACAACTGCTTTCTCTACAAGAGCCTTACAGCACAGCACAGCACAGAACTGAGAAATCAATGCCTTCTGAAGAATCTAACCTCACAGTAAAGCAACTAAACAGCTGAAGTACAGTACATGATAGCGTGGCACTTTCTTAGAACTAGTTTTTTGAAAGTGTTGAGGCTCTACTGTTGTGGTAACCCCCTCTATGTAACGTTAATGGGAAGTCAAAGACGCGAACCCCCAGCTCTTCCCTTTACCAGCTGAGTGGCTTGAGTTTCAGTTTTCTCTTGTGTACAGTGGGGCAAACAGCAAAGTCATTACATTGTTGATTAAATAAAAAATCATATCCCAAAAGCTGATGATATGCACTTAACTGTTAGCTAATTAGCAGAGCACTTTTCATCCGATCCTATTTGGTGAGGATTAACATATTCATACTTATCTGTACTTCAGTGAGACTTAGACAAAGGAAGCAAATTACTCAAGATTTCGCACCAGGGATGTTGGGGGGCTAGCAGTTGAATCCAGGTCAAGAAACTCCCAAGCCCGGAAGGAACAAAGTGTGCAGTAAGTTTGCAAGTCCTAGTTGTATGCCCAAAGTCAAACTGGGCATGACCTAAACCATCTCCTCTAGCAATGAGGAGCAGGACAGTGGCTCTGGAGCTCGCACTGGGCATCTTGGTGGGAACCAAGTGCATGGATGCATTTGTTTAAAACCTTTGTTTGCCGGACAGTATCTTCTATTGAACAAAACAACTCTGTAGGTATTTTCAACCATTTTAACTTGATGCCAACATTTATTTCCACCACTTCAGAATGTTTTTTTCTTTCCCTGTGGGGGCCCTGGTAACTGGAAAACGTGGGAGTGTAGACTAGGACAGGTGTGAAAACAGAAGCTACGGCGTTTTAGCCTCTGCCAGACTCAGCGCTCACTTCCTTCAGCTCCACCGGAACATGTTCAGGTTAACACTAGGACCGAGATCCTAGTCTTTCCCTCTCAAGGACTCAGGCCCTTTTCCTAACATGGTATGCCCAGTTACTTAAAATGCTCAGCACAATTATATTAACTCATTTTCCCAGTTTTGCTTAATCACTTAGAGCTTCTACTCAGCACCTGCTGGCTTACAGATCCATCAGATGTAGTTAGAATAATATCCTGCAGTAAAAGGGGAATGGAAGATTATTTGGGCCAGTTCGACCTTAAATCAGGTAAAGATCTAATTTCTTAGGCTTTTGGAGTTACTATAAGTAGCTCACAGTTCCCGGGGGCTCAGGAAACAGCAGTCTAGGAATAGACATCTTTTTAAAAAGGAACCACAAAATGTAATATATAATGAAACTATTTTTCAGCCTTAAGAAAAAAAGAATTCTGGCACGCTAAAGCACAGATGAATCTTAAGGACATTATATTAACTGGAATAAGCAGGTTACAAAAAGACAAATACTTTGTGACTCTACTTAGATGAGGAACATAGTCAAAATCCTAAAGACAGAAAGAGGGGTGGTGGCTGCCAGGGGCTTGAGGGAAGGGAGTTTTTACCTAATGAGCAGTTTCAATTTTGCAAAGAATTCTGGAGGTGAAGATATAAATAACACCACTGTACTGTTCATTTAAAATGGTTAAGATGGTAAATTTCATGTTATGTGTATTTTACAATAAAAATTGGAAAAAAGAATGCAACAGCTTGAACACTGTGATTCTCAGCGATGGTATTAGCATTGTATCGCTGAGCCAAAAGCAGCTACATAATAGATGTTATACATCTTTACAACCAACTCCCAATTTTCCTTCTCTTCCTTCTGCTGAATGAAGTATCCTCATGTTCTGCCACTAAAATCTAGCATCTTCTTATACATCACCGGCTCAGAAAATTCAATGGCTTTCAGCTATCTGTCCACTAAAGACTATGGCTAAACAGATGAATTCCAGAAACTGTATCCCCTACCCTAAAGAGCTTTCCCCACAGGGCTGCAGCAGCCCCCAGGGGAAAAGACATATGTACACCCACACACATGCACACACACATAGCAACAGGGAAATGGATTAAAAGTATGATTTTTTTGTATTATTATTACTACCACTCTGAATATCAGGGAAAAAATTCCATTATAGATATTGTCTTCTGTAATTTCTCCCAAATGAAACAGATGAAAATGCATTTCAAAAATAAAGACACCTGTTTCCAGCAATAATTACAGGATCTAAGAAAACTAGTTAGGACCATTTCCCAATAAAATGTCACGTTAGAATTTATGAGTACATTCACAATATTTTGATCTAAGAATTCTTCTTTTTTGGTTTTTCTGAGACAAGGTCTCGCTATGTAGTGCAGGTTGGCTTTAAATTTGGTTATGTAGCCCAGACTGGCCTTGAACTCAGTGATCCTCCTGCCTCAGCCCCCCAAGTGCTAGGATTACAGGTGTGTGCCACCATGCCTGGCAGGAAATATTTTATAAAGATACATACTTTTGGGGCTGGGGATTTAGCTCAGCGGCAAAGTGCCTGCCTGGCAAGCGCAAGGTCATGAGTTCGGTTCCCAGTACCGGAAAAAAACCAAAAAAAAAAAAAAAAAGATACACACTTTCAGCATTTGACACTTTGGAAAAACTACAAAGTATGATCAAAAAAATAGGCTTTTTAAAAATTATTTAACAGAAGATACATTGCCACTGTCTTTAGTTACACTGGTGTCCTAATGTCCTAAATCAATTTTCAAAACTTTTACTTTTCATGATCATTTTGACTTTGGGGAAGAGACAGTAGTTGCACAGTGAGTAGGTGGATGAGGACATATCATAATGTATTTACAAGCCTGCCTTTCTGTTGGATGGCCCTCGGCAGCAGCGTTCACTGTATTTTTCATCACACCCCATAGACACAAAAGATTTCCAGAACTGCTTCCAAAAGTGATGAAAATGATACCATAAGTGTGTTCAAAGAGATGGGGAGTATTTTAAGGGGGGTTAATGGCAATGTGTCTTTTACTGTAATAAATTTTATTTAGACATTTACCATATATTTTAATCACACCTTGGGTTTTACAACTAGGATTTTAAAAACCATTTAACAATTCAAAGAATTTTTATTTCATATACAAGCTTAACTGTATGTGGATATCTTTTAAAATTATTTTTTTTAATTTACATACATCATTTTGTGGTTTTGACGGACACTTAGGCATTTCACAGGACTCTCACTTCCTCTTCAGGATTTCTGGCTTGAAGAGTTAAGGTTCTGGAGGGCGCTAGTTGTGTGAGCAATTTTTGGCATATCCTAGGGACTAACAACTGAATGCTTACACTGGTACAGCAGAATGAGCTAAATGACACCAAAAAAAAATTTAGCTTTACTTGGAATTATATCAACTGAATGTCAGTACCTTGCTGTGCTTACAAAGGTTTTTAATTTTCAAAACAAAATTTTATTTAATAAATCCAGTTTATCAAATGAATTCTTTCTAAATAGGCTTAGAATAAAAGATAAATGGATAGAAAGCCAATAGTATGCACTCAGAGAGTAGGAGAAAGAAGAGGCAAAACATTATGTATGGTTTTAGAGACAAAGAACAGAATGAGCAAACATTCCATCCAAGATTTCTGGTTTCTGATTTCTTTGACTGTTCTCCTGGGTACCGGCTGCCTCCGAACAGAGATCCGCCTGACAGAAGTCACAGGCATTCTCCTTAAAAGCCACAAAATACCCAAAATGACAATCACCGAACAGAAATACCTTGAGGAAAACAAGCCAAGGCCAATTACAGGATCTTGGATTTGAATGACTGCACGGTTCGATGAGTAACTGTCAATCCAAAAAAAGAGCACGATCTCCACAAGATAAACTTTCTACAGATTTACTTGCAGGCCTCAAGTCAGACGAGGGAGCTAGTAGAAGAGCACCAGTAATCAGACTCGGTATAAATGAATTAGAAAGTTTATTAGTTATAGAAAAAAACAGATTCTTCAAAATCAATTCTTGTTTAAGTTCCCTATAAAATAAGCTTACAGAAAATTTCTTTCTCATGAAGAGAAAATTCACTATACTTTTGGTCCAAGACATGTTCAGTTTTTTCCTTCTTCTTCGGATGACAGATGGATGTAGCCGAATCTACGAACGAGTGTACTTGCCCCAAATGTGCAACATAAATACAGAAGCGATGAACAGAAGACTCATAACCAATACTGGAACAGGGCCACTAGAAATAAGAAGAGAGGCATGCTTACTTTAGTAATAATATATTATTACATTCAATACCAAAGACTGTCTGGGGGCAAGGTGAGGAGAAGGAGGAAGCATTTAGAAATCATCCAGGAACATTATTTACATCATCTGAAAATATTCCCAAAACTATTACTGGGGTTACTTGAAGAGTGTGGTTGTGTTTAGAAAGGAAGAGTCCTTACTTTTAGTCCAACATACCAAAATATATACAAATGAAATGATCTGATGTTTTACAGAAAATATAATTTACAGGGTGTTGATTAAACAAATGCCATCTGATCTGTACTATAAATTCACAGGTAAGACAAATATTAATTTCATTTTATACATAAGCAAAACAATTCAGGCTCAACAGGATCATTACTTGCCTAAAAACATACAGCCAGAGTAGAAAGGAGAGACTTAAACTCATGTTTTCTGACTCTACACATACTGTTCATTTTATTGCCTTGAGGTTCCCATCTTCAAAGAGCAAACATTTTAGGCATCATGCTTCAGTCTGACTTAGGACTTTAGTATGGGAAGGGAAGAGATTTTAGGCATCCATCCTTAAGTAAATAAATCAAATGCTTTTCCATTTAAGAACTGGGTTTTTAAAGGGTGAATTCCTTAAATGTTTACTTTAGATGCCATCTGTCTGACTCTTCCTGCCCATTATAACTTTGCAGAATTCACATTATTTCATTTCACCTCCCAGATACAACTGGGGAATAGAGAGTGGGAAAAGGAATCTTTATAATCACCGAGGCAATGGAGAGAATCCTACCAAGGCAGCAAGGCTAATAAAGACCACGACTGGACAATAAATGATGCAGAAACTAATATCTTTGTTACACTGCTACTACTCTGTTCTTCCCAGAAGTTTATAATTAAGGGAATAAACAAATTTAAACAATGATAGGAAGAAATCATCATACTGCACTTGACCTTACTCTCTGACTTTAAGGCAATGTTACAGTAACATCAGCCACAGAGCATAAAGCTGAGACTTCAGCCATCAGAGTCATATGCTGGGGTCTGGAAACCAGCTCGGACACACAGCTGAGACTGTGGCTCCCTCATGTACTTTCTTCAGGTCTAGCTACTTACCTACGTAATGGGGATAATCACAGTGCCTTTCTCATAGGTTTGCTGAGGGATTAAGGACACAAGTACATATGCAGTGCTGGTTTACAGTAAGCACTCAGGCAATATTACCAACCTGAAAAAATTCTAAACTAGTAAAAGCCAAAAACAGGTGCCAAGATGTTGCTTGACTGTTCTAAGACATGGACTGGTGGACAAGAATTCCCCATCATGTCCTTTGACCCAAAACACCTATCTCTGATATGATGAGAATGGGTTTTACGGCACTACAAGCACAGCCTCTACTGACTCCTGGGAGGACTGAGCCATGGCAGCCACCGGCCCAGCTGCCCAACAGCAGGAAGCCTGGAGCAGACCAAGAAGAATGGGTTTTTCCCAACTTCTTCAGAAGGGTTTAAAACAAGTCCCTAGATACTCCAAAGAGCAAAGGAATTAAAAATCACCCTTAACAAAGACAAAAAGTTGTCAGTCACACCATAACCAACGCACATATCACCACTCCCCAGAATTACTTCCTACATACATCCTTACAAGTCTCCAATCAAAAAAAAAAAAAAATCAATAAATGAATTAAACCAAATCTCAAGGACTCTAAGGAAGCTTTCATAAACTACGCTTGTAATCCAAGTCAAGCCTCTGGTCAAAGTAAACTATCCAATTTTGTCTCTACCAGACAGGCAGTATAGAAAGAGCACGACACTTAATAGTTAAAATAACTGGTCCCATCCCTTGCTGTTCGTCTCTCAGCACACCACTTGGTGTTTCTGAACCTGAGTCTCTTGGTCTACAACATGGGGTACCTTCCACCTCATTGGATTGCTGGACAAATCAAACTAGAAAATAGCTATTAAAGTTCTTTGCAAAAAACCAAGTGTTATGTAAATTAGAAAATGAGATATGCTATCATTAGTTCAATTCCTCATCCACTGGGTTGAGCTGGGAAACAGCTGTGAGCAGTGGTGTTCTGGCACCTACTATGATCAGAAATCTGTGAGATTAGTCTACCATGGTAGCAGAATGGTAAATGAGCGGAGCCAGGCACAGGGACAGAGCCTCTTGGAGACCTACCTCCCACCACATAAGCACTTGCAGGCCTAAGAACTTGGGATGTGACATGTTCGCCTTCCTAGGTCCACTCACCACCCTCCCAAGGCAAGCAGGCCACAGAGCTTGTGATAACACAGACTAATTGAAAAACTTCCATTAGGCTGTAATAATATAAGCTTACGCCTTTAGGAGAACTCTGAAAAATCACCTACTTCCTATTCAGATGGTTGTTCCTATTTCTCACTGCGGAGCAAGAACACTAAATGAAGAACAATTTCATCTAATTAAGCAGTGTTCCCTCTAGTTCTCTCTGTTCCCATTACTTACTCTGACACAGCTACACAAAAACCTTCCTTCCTTTTCACTCACTCTATGAAGAGATGTCATTCAGGCCCTAACCTTTCTAATCGGCTGATGAAAAAAAAGCCACTCAGCCCACCTGGCACAAATAAGTGGCTGTGTATCATCTACCTTATAAAAACAAGTACCAGTCTTAGCAGAGAGAGACTGCACTGCCATGCGCTGCCACAGCAGACAGATACACAAGGCCTGCTTCCAAGACTTACACTTTCAGCCCAGGTGAGTCTTCTGTGTAAAATCGCCACATCCCCCCAGTGCCTGCTGAGGTCGTGCGGCCTGCGCTCCTTGTTCCACAGCTGGCATTTTTCCTGAAAGAGAGGAAAATGTTACCTACAGCCTTTTCTTAAAAATCTTTATAGTAGCATTATAACACATGCTATTATTATATGGTTAAAGAATCAGTAAGCAAAAAACTTCATTGCTAGTACAGATTTAAATTCCTGCTTTTACTCCACAGATCCAAAGTACTATGCAGTATCTATTATATGCCAATGCATACAATAAACTTGATAAGTAGTTACCATTTCCCACTTTATGCATGAGGAAAATTATGCTCAGCAATAGTTAAGCAACCATTCTTAAGACCACGTGATCAGAGGGTAGCCAGGTGGAATGTGGACCCAGGTCTGACTCAAATCCCACGAACTGCCCACAACATCTGGTCCCCTCACTTGGACATTTCAGTTTCTTTTTCACATACGGTTCTGTGAAGGCAAGTAAGACGCCTCTGTTTCAAAATGTCCTGAATCTATATAGCCAATCTTAAAATGACTGCTTTAAAAGATATATTTAAATTACTGCACTTACAGCAAGAGACAAAAAAGATTTAGATTTAATTATATATGAGTACCAGAAATGGAATATGCATTTTATAGAAAAATACTTCATACTGCTTTTGCCATTTTGTTACAGTGATCAAAGATCTTGGACAGAGAGGAAGGATGTGAAAAAATACAGAAAACACCCAACGAGAACTGGTGCCATGCAAAAGGATCAAGGCTCATGAGATGAGCTGTGTGATCCAGGCAGCCCTGGCAGGCAGAAGTCAAGTAAGAGCACGGACTCTGCTGACCAGGAAGAAGCCTAGGGAATCCTTTCCTTCCTCTGTAGAAGAACCCCTTAGTCACCAGGGAACCTCACCTAGCAAGTCTCCTCCCACATGGTACTACCCAATCTCAGCGACCCACCTCGCTCCTGTGCTAGAGCAGTACAACATAGAAGAAAGTAGTAAGTGGTAAGAAGTCAAAGAATCTTCTTCTTCCCATTTATTACCAACCCAGAAGTTGAAGGTGAGAGAAAAGAAAGACGGGAGAGAATGTCCTATTCCATTACTGTCCTACTAGCAACCAAATCCCAATACACTTTCCCTTGAAATCCCATTCTAATAGGTGTGGGTTGCTGATGCTGGATTTATTATTTTTAAAAAAGGAAGAACATGCAGGGAAGAAATCCAAGTGAAAACTCGGTCCCTACCATCTCTTCTCTCTTTCCTCCCAACTCTGGTCCTAATGGGGACTGCACCCTACCAAGGCCTTTGCACCACACTGAATATAAGAAGTACTGGCTACAACCCAGGCAACTTGCCCTGCCAAGTGAGTAGAACAATGGAGTCTTGGTTTTAGTCTGTGTTTCAGTCAGAAGACCTGTGCTCAAGAGAACTTTTATTAGTAGGAGAGTAATTTGGGTCTATTGTACTACGATGATTATATTTCAGACACACTAATTATGGGTCACATGGTCACCTGGGCATTTAGAACTTCATTTGTATGACTGTTTCTAAGGAAAAAAATGATTGTAAAAAGCAAATATAACTGTACAGGGACTTAGAGTAACTCATGCACATCCACATACAAAGATATACATATATTTAATCTATGTGGTAAGTACCGAAAATTTTCAATTTTCTTCCCTCTTCATAAAAAGAAACGAGTTAGAAGATAAATCTAACATGGGAAGTCATCAGACCCATGCCCTTGCCTCTACTATAATTTCTGGACTAAAGTCCCTATCTTCAAAGTTGGAATTACAGACTCTGTAGTGGAATTAGTGTGGCCTTTTTAAAGACTTCCTCGCCTTTGCTGGTACACAGGCAGTGAATCTGAAAACCAAGGGTCTACCTTACCCTTTCTTTCTGGCCAGTATGTCTTTCAATAACTTAACAAATGGTGTTCAGACTTAATCATTTACACTTTAGTCGAGCACAATGGCCTTCTGGTTGTTCCTTGAACAAGCCAAGCTCAATGACCTCAATCTTTACACTTAAGCATTCCTGTTTCCTAAGCACCCTATTCCTGCCCAGACCAATGAATGATTTGCTTCCTTGTTCCTTTTAGTTGTCTTCTCAAATGCCACCCACCCTGAACACCCTATTTAAAACCATTATCAACACTTACCTAAACCTACCACTCTCTGTCCCTACCTGGCTATATTTTGCTTCATAGCCCTTACTGCCTGAAAATAATTACTTATTTATTTGCCTCTTATGGTCTCCCACACTTGAATAAAGTTCATGGAATAAGTACAAATCCTGCCTATGTTGTTCACAAATATATCCTTTAGTCTTAGGCAGTGCTTGGCATGTAGCAGACTTTTAATAAATATTCAGTGACTACTTTAATATCCCTGTGTATTACTCCACCATCTTAATGTCCCTATTCCCATTAATTCTGCTTGAACAGTGTGCAGAACTTCACAATTTTGCCATTTATAATGCATCACTGTTCCTTTTCATCCTCATAGCAACGTCCTTTCACACTATATCAAGCAGTACAAGGATTCCAACCCAGCCTGACCTTTAATCCTATACTGTTTCTTCTCCAAGGTATTACTTTATTCAGCATAGAAAATACAAATCTACCAACTATATAATCTGCAGATTTATTGGTAACCACTACTTTCAACTTTTTTGCAAAGACTTATGAATACAAAGCATGGATATATTCTTAGACAACTAATATTACACTTATGAAATAATACTTAACCAGTCACAAACTTCTAGAAGAGAATATTGAGGGTCTCTCAGTACACACAACCATAGTTTGTCTGGTTACATTGGCTCTACAATACTAAATCCTAAAGATGCTATCAATACTTTTAACTTTAAAACCTCTAGCTATTGTTTCACTTGTTATTGGTTATTTCATTTGTATTACTTGATCATAATTACATCTGATAAACATATGCTTTCAATTTTTAAAAAAATTCTCACATGGCCAAACTTCTAAGCCTCAGTACTACCACTTCTCTTTAACCAGAACCATTCCTCCCAGGAACTATACACGTCTACAGGAAAAAATTCCAGGGAGGAATCTCAGTCTAGCAAGAGGGAAGTACTCCGAGGGCATATAATCCAAGTCACAGCCTTATGCACTTTCCTCGAAAATCTGTGACAAGAAACCTATAATCATTCAAGATAACTTACATCATTTCTGATAGTTTTGTTTACAATTTCCTTCTCTGAGTTGCACTGTTTCATGTATATTCAAATCACCAGTATTAGATCTATGATTATCAATTCAGATTTTCTATTGAAGCCAACAAGAGAAGCCTCATCCTATAATCCTGAGGCAGAAGGATCACCACAAGTTTGAGGCCAGCCTGGGCCACAAAGTGAGTTTAAGGCCAGCCTGAACTGCAGAGCAAAACCCTACCTCAAAAACCCAAAGCCTCTTCACATTTTTAAGCATAGTTTTCATGCAGAGCTTCAAGGCCTTCTCCTCTCTAAATAAAACCTTACTAGGTCCTTCAAAAATCCCAGAACAAAACAGTTACTCAGTTCCTTCATTCATTCATAATTTACTGCATCAGGACTTGTAACAGAAGCTGGAGAAAGACAGGGCTGGGGCAGTTTCCGTATCAAAGTCTAGAAGAGGAAATAAATATGGGAACATAAATGACCTTCTAATGATATGAACAAAATGCTATTGGGAACAAAAGCAAAGACCAATAGCTAAGTGCAAGGTTGTGAGTTCAATTCCCGGTACCGGTACCCAACCCCCGCAAAAATAAAAAAGACCAATAGCTACTACTGTCTGCAGATTAGGGTGCTCAGCAGGAAATAACCCTGGGCTTTGTTTCAGAAAATAAATGGGAATTAGGAGAGGGGTGCCAGGCTGGGGGGCTATGAGTTCAGAAAAACAGTACTAAGTTCACTGTTACTGAATCACAGGAGAAAGGTAAGACTGGAAAGATCACCAAGCAAGAGCCGTGATCCCCACATCCGTTTTCACATTTGCCAACAAGAATCTCACAGAGAAACAACAGAAAAGTAACAGCTAACTGTATGATGAAGTGGAAATGGCCTGAACAGAAGAGAGAAGTAGCAGATACAAAAAAAGATAAGCGAAGTTAAGAGTACAACTGGGGCAGCAGAAATGGAGGAGGACAACACTCGTGAACAGGTTTTCGTACAGAATTTAATGTACGGCATACGACTGGACATCAGGAAACCCGGGATGACGCTGAAGTTTCTGGTTTTGTGTAAATGCGTACAGCAGCACCATCTGGAACCAGGCCATAGTTTGGGACGAGGCGGCTAGGTGTGTCGGAGAAGTTATGTCAAGCTGAGTGTGCACGGCACTTCTTGGTGGGAAGGGGAAGGCAAAGCTCAGGTCCAGACACACCCGCATAATGACCTACATTGTCCTCACGGTCGGATTTATTTTTCCTTTTTAAAAAGCGCGAAACTGAGCAGAGAAGAAAACGATGCCCCCCTCACCCCGCGCCGTGGCCACCTCGCCTCAGGCTCATCCGGCCCCTGCGCGTCTTAAGGTCCTAGGGTCTGCGCCGCCGGACCAGGCAATTCTTGGGCCCCACCTCCCCACGTCTTCATCCTAGCGGGCCGCAGGGACTCTTACCGCTGCCGGACCGTGGATCCCGCCGCCCGAGCGGCAACCGCTTTGCTGGGAGAACGCCCCGAAGAGCCCACGTTAGTGCCACTGGGAGTCGGACCGGGCTGCAGCAGGGAGAGACAGACAGTGAGCGTCGCGGCCTCGCTCCCGCAGCCCCAGCACCCGCACGAAAGGCGGGGGAAACAAGGAAGCCCAATAGAAAGGGTCAAGCACAGGCAGGAGTCAGGAGGGACCAAAGAGGGAAGGCTGAGCCGCGTACCATGCTGGAGGACGGAGAAACGCGAGGCACTGGACAAGACCGCAGAAACACCTCCCAGCAAGAGAAGGACCGGCACCCGGGGAGACTGACTCTGGCCCCGCCCCCAGGCCCGCTGGCAGGGTCCTCGCTGGCTCCGGACGCCTGGGTTGTCCCACGATATGCCTGTGGAAATTCTGCTGAAGGAGACCTGACCAGCCGCTGGATAGAAAGCACAGACCCTTCGTTCCATTTCGTTGGATCACACTGTCTTTCATGTGACTCAGTCCCTCCCAAAGGGAAAATATAGCCTAGGTCAAGCGATAAATTTTCTTCGGCAGTTACTAAGCCCCCATAGATTTGCGCTGATGTGGCCCTAACTGACGCATGCGCGGCAGGGCGGTGTCGGTCCTCAGTAGCCAGCAAGGCTCTAGGGGCGGAGCTTGCGGTAGCCCCACCGGGCGCGGGACTCGGCCGCGGCGCCAGTCATGGGCGAAGGACAGGGCCCAGATCGAAGTGCTGGTACCAACCCGTCGGTGCTGTTCCTGCACCCGGACCTGGGTGTGGGCGGCGCCGAGCGGCTGGTGCTGGACGCGGCGCTGGCACTGCGGGCGCGCGGCTGTAGCGTGACGATCTGGACGGCGCACTACGACCCTGGCCACTGCTTCGCAGAGAGCCGGGAGCTGCCGGTGCGCTGCGCCGGGGACTGGCTGCCCCGCACCTTGGGCTGGGGCGGGCGCGGCGCCGCCGTCTGCGCCTACGTGCGTATGGTCTTCCTGGCGCTCTACGTGCTGTTTCTCGCAGACGAGGAGTTCGACGTGGTGGTGTGCGACCAGGTGAGGGAGCCTCGGGGCCCCGGGAGAGGACCTCTGCGCTCTGCAGTACCGAGAGGTCGGGACCGGCCTGCAGAAGTCCACTGAAGTGAGACCTGGCGAATTTAGCATGGATCCTAAAGTTGCAAATCGCGGCCCTCCCCTCTTCTTAGGGAGCTTGCAGACGGGGCCCAGAAATCTGCCCTTTAATGGGTCAACATGTAACTGAAGCGGATGAGACCTCAGGGTCGAACTCAGGAACGCTACCCTTAGAAGTTGGCCTCAGTTATTTTTATGTCTGAGAAACTCGTGTGTTGCCTTCCCTCTTTTCCGTTACTTTTGTGCACTTTACTTCCAGGTCGTACACATCCTGCTGTCTTTCCAGCCAAGCCACCCATGTACTCATTATAGCGTCCTGTATTAAAAACACCAAAGCTGAACGTGTCACGTCCCCATTAACACTTCAACGTGGTTGCCCAGTGGAGGAAAGTCCAGGTCCTGTACCTTGGTAAATAATGTTCAGCTTTATCTGCCCTATGACTGTTCTGGATGTTTTTCTTAGCTATTTTTCAAACTCCCAATTTTGTATTTTATTTTTGTTTTGTTTTTTTGTTTGTTTTTCTCCGGTACAGGGAACCGAACTCACGACCTTGCGCTTGCCAGGCAGGCGCTTTTGCCGCTGAGCTAAATCCCCAGCCCCTAATTTTGTATTTTAAAAAGTAACATTTACTGAGCAATAAAATTCAGTGTGAGAGTATAGCGTAAAAGTCCCGTTCCAAAGGTATAGTGTAAAAGTCTCCCAGAATTTAGCCATTGTCACGTTATTCCTGTATCTACCCTAGAAATTAGCCACACTAGCATATGTGCGTTTGTTTGTAGATACATCTTATTTGTACATAATTGGGATTATGACATAGTTTTTATTTTATACTTTCGTCAGCCAAAAAAAAAAATTATTTGGGACATCTTTATCATTATTAGAGATTCACTTTGTTGTAGTGGCTATGAAATACACTTTTGTTTGAATATACCATGATTCATGCATTCTTCTGTAAAAGGACACTAACATTGTGACCAGTTTTGTGTGTGTGTGTGTGAGAATAGATCCGTGTTGTCATGAACATCCTTACACTTTTTTGTTTTATACTTCTGCAAGCATATCATCTGAGTGAATTCCCAGAAATAAAGTTGTGAGTCAAAGAGTAGTTCATTTTAAATGTCAATAGCAGTTGCCAAATTTGCCTTCTAGAATTTTCCATATCCTCTTGTCCACACTGGATATTATCCACCATTTTAATTGCTACCAAACTGATAGATAGAAATAGCATCACCCCTTCATTTGTGTTTATTAAAGTGTGACTCCTGAGTTACTTTTGATCATTTTAAGAAGAAAGTCCTTCCTTTTTAAGAAACGTGGACATTCAGCTGGGCATGGTGACACACATCTGAAATTCCAGCACTCTGAGAGACTGAAGCAGGAAGATTGCAAGTTGGAGTCAAGCCTGGGCAACATAACAATTTAACAAGACCTTGGGTCGAAAAATAGGTGGGGGTTGGTGGGGTTCAATGCAACGGCCCTAGGTTCAATCCCCCTGGGGGATATATATATATATATATATAGTACCAAACATTCTGCATGTGTCCCTCATTAACAGCGAGCAGCTAAGATGTACTGGGTAGAGAAAAAAGTGGGGACCTGGAAGTAGGAGTGCTGGATTCAAGTTCTGTATCCACTGTTTTATGTAGCTATGGATAGGTTGCACAGTATCCCTAAAACAGAAATTCTTTGGGTATTATTTAAATGAGCTACGAGTTACATAATTTGTAAAAGTTCCCAGTAGCATAGTCTCTAGAAATGCCAGCCTGTAATTCATACTTAATAATCGTTATGCTTAATATTTACTTAGCACATAATATATGCTAAAGTTAAAGTTTTACTTATACCAGTGCTTTTCATAATCACAAAAACTATGTAGTGTTTTCAACTATGATTGTTGCTATGTTACATACATTAAAACCTAGAGAGGATTAGATTACTTGATCAGGAGCACACAATTAGAACTAAAATTCAAATCCTGGAAATCTTACTACAGAGTCTAAATTACTATAGTTCTTTTGTTAGTTTCTTAATAGGATCTAGATCCCAGAGCTGTACTGTCCGATATGATGCCTGTTGAGCCTGTTGAGTACTTAAATATGGCCAGACTGAACTGATATGCTAAATTGTAAAATATAAGCCTGATTTTAAAGATCTAATATGAAAAGGTATCTCATTAAGATATTTTACTATTGATTATATTTTAAAAGTGCTTTAGTAAAGCATATTAAAATTAGCTTTGACCTCAGAAGAACCTTAATGTTATTAAATTTTTATTTCATTTCTGTTGGACCACACTGTTCAAGTGGCAATCACTGTAAAGCTTTAAACGTTTAGCACATGTCCTGCAAATGTCTGCCAGCTTTCTGCACCAGTCATTGTACTGGGCGTAGCGGGGTGGGGAATACAGAGCAGAATTAGACATTACCCATGAGGAGCCCACGCACAAGGCAGGGTGTATAGGTATCTGTACCTCTGATTGAAGTTTAGTTAACCATTTTATCTGCTATTGATTTTACTTTGGCTAGGTGTCTGCCTGTATCCCTGTGTTCAAGCTGGCCAGACGACGTAAGAAGATCCTATTTTACTGTCACTTCCCAGATCTGCTTCTCACCAAGAGAGATTCTTTTCTTAAACGGCTGTACAGGGCCCCAATTGACTGGATAGAGGAATATACTACAGGCATGGCAGATTGCATCTTGGTTAATAGTCAGTTTACAGCTGCAATTTTTAAGGAAACCTTCAAGACCTTGTCTCATATAGACCCAGATGTTCTCTACCCATCTCTGAATGTCACCAGCTTTGATTCAGCTGTTCCTGAAAATCTTGATGACCTAGTCCCTGAGGGAAAAGAGTTTCTGTTCCTCTCTATTAACAGATATGAAAGGAAGAAAAATCTGAAATTGGCACTAGAAGCCCTAGTACAGCTACGAGCGAGGTTGACTTCTCAAGACTGGGAGAGGGTTCATCTGATCATGGCAGGTGGTTATGATGAAAGAGTGCAGGAGAATGTGGAACACTATCAGGAATTGAGGAAAATGGTCCAGCAGTCTGACCTTGGCCAGTATGTGACCTTCTTACGGTCATTCTCAGACAAACAGAAAATCTCGCTCCTCCGTGGCTGTACATGTGTGCTTTATACACCAAGCAATGAGCACTTCGGCATCGTCCCTCTGGAGGCCATGTACATGCAGTGTCCAGTCATTGCTGTCAATTCAGGTGGGCCCTTGGAATCCATCATCCACAGTGTCACAGGCTTTCTGTGTGAGCCTGACCCAGTGCACTTCTCAGAAGCAATAGAAAAATTCATCCATGAACCGTCTTTAAAAGCCACAATGGGCCTGGCAGGAAAAGCCAGAGTGATGGAGAAATTTTCTTCTGAAGCATTTACAGAACAGCTCTACCAGTATGTCACAAAACTGCTGGTATAATCAGATTATTTTAAGGTTCTTTATATTGCATTCACTGATGTTATTTTTATGGATCATAAGTCCAGTTTTGATACCAGAAGAGAGGTTTTAAAAATAAACTTGAGTCTTGAGTCTGAACTATCTTCCTGTATACTACACCTCCCTGTGTACTTTTTCAAAAAAATAATGTCTTATACTATGATCATTCCAAGTCTTACCATGTTCAGATTATTTAACTTCTCTAGATTATCATTGCTTTGCATATAAATTTTGAATCATACTGTGCCTTAATTGATTTTGGTAGTTATAAGTATATCATGATCAAAAGTTGATTAATTTGGTAGAACACTTGCCTAGAATGTACAAGGCCCTTTGTTCAGGCCCCACCACTGAAAAAAAAAGTTGTTAATTTGACTTTTTTTTTGGTCTTTTTGAGGCAGGGTCTCACTATGTAGTTCAGGCTGGCCTTGAACTCACTGTAATCCTTCTACCCCTGCCTCCCAAGTGCTGGGATTACAGGTGTGCACCACCACGCCCAGTATTTTTACTTTATAGTATAATGCAGACAGTTTCAAGTTTCCAGAATCAGCGGTCACTGTCATATGTTAATAGAATGTTGATTAGACTTGCCTGGATTCATAGCAAGAGTGCTTATTTTTCTTACAAAGATGATTTATTGTATTTTCTCACACAGAAACATGACAATAAAAGATGTTTAGCATAGAAAGAAACAATAAAGCGTTATAGCGTCCACGACCTATTTTTGTATTGTTAGATAATGTTAGGTAAGATTCCCAAACGTGAAGTCACAAAACTAAAGTGAATGTTGACATGAAGAGGGAATATTGTCACACATGCAATATGCGTTGTGTTAGCTTACTGTTCCTGTGACAAATAGATAATCAACTTAAAGGGAAGAGTGGTTTACTTTGGCTCACAGTTTCAGAGATTTCAGTCCACGGTCACTTGACCTTTTTGCTTTGGGCCCATGGCAGCACGATACATCACAGTAAGAGCACATGAAAGAGGAGACCTGTTCACCTGATGGCAGCTTGGAAGCATAGAGAGGAAAAAGCCAAGGTCTTAACATCCCCTTCAGAGAAATGCCCTCAATGACCTCATTTCCTTGTAGGCGCCATGTACACTACTAAGTTCTACCATGTCCCAGTAGCAACTTGGACTCAAGACCAAGTCTTCAACACATAGGCCTTGGGGAACATTGAGGGTCTAAAGTGTAATATATATCTTGTTTAAGGCTTGTTTCTCAGTGTCCTCTGAGTCACCAGTTTTGTTAGTTCATGTTGTATTAACTAAGCTTCTCCTAAATATTCTCTCAGTAGACAGTCTTTTTATCCTTTAAGGCCAGACTCAAATACCACTGCTCCAAGTGAAACTTGCCTTGATTTTTTCCCTCCCAAGCTAGATATGATCTTCTCCTTCCATATATTCTAGCCCTTTTATGCCACTAGCCAGTTCTTATACTTATTTACCTGTTGGTCTAAGTCCAAATAATAAACACTAAGCAATTTTCAGTATACCTTTAAAGCTCAATTCACTTTTAAAACTAGCAATATCACTAGCCAAGGGCTGGGGATTGAGCTCAGCGGCAAAGCGCCTGCCTGGCAAGCGCAAGGTCATGAGTTTGATTCCTGGTACCTGGGGGGGGCGGGGGGGGGGTCACACTAGCCAAAGGCTTCACATTAATGAACTCTAAGAACACAGATTTAAGAGTGTAACAGCCTATATGACTTTAGGAAAAGTAATCTGCATCTCAGCTTCTGTAAGCTGGCATCATTGTTCTGTTTACATAGATGATTATGAGGAATTTCAGTAGTATATACCAAGCTCTTAAAAACTGTACGTGGTACATAATACACACGTGTGAATAAAAAAATACAGTGAATGTTTAAGTTTTTAAACATCACAGTAAAGCACATATTCCCATTAATCCCCCTCAGAATACTCTCCCTTGTTTGGAATACTTCGCATTCTTGCTGCTCTCTGAAGCAGCTCTGGAAGTCTTTCACGGCTTTACTTGCATGGTCGTGTCTGCCTCAGTGACCTGAGCTGATTCAAAACGTTTACATTTCATGATCATTTTGACTTCAGGGAAGAACTAGAAGTCCTTTATTCCCAATCTCATGAATAAGGACAGGTAATGTCTTTATTTGACGGAAATTTCCATAAACATTTATAGTCTTACTATCATAATTTTTTGAATTTTTATTTAAGCATTCACTGCATTTTGTTACCATACTTTGTAAATGTTAGCTATTATTTTGCAATTTCGGAATTTTGAAAATGACTAGAAATTCCCTGTGGGTTTCATACCTCACTACTACATCATTATTCTGGGCTTCTTCAGAGGATGAAATTTCAGTTTATAATTTGTCACTGGCATTTGTGTTACAGGAGTGTTTATTTTAAACACCATACCAAAAAAGAATTGTACAAAATGAAGGAGTCAAATGCAGTTCTGTTGAATGTCATTTTCTTTAGCATTGTGAAATTTTACTGTCCAGTAAAATAGGTGAATTTATGGCTTGTGTTTCTGGGAACTTCATCTTTTCCAGAAAAACCTGCTGGGTTTAGGACAAATGGGATTAGTCACACTGTGAGCCATAGCGGCTACTCACCCCTTAGAAGCAATAAATCTTTATGTTATATGTCTTATTTTCTTTATGGAGATCCCTCCAAGATGGGCTGCATGGGTTCATAGGTCTCTAAGTTGTCCTCATTGACCGAAAGTCCTGCAGATGACAATAAGCCTTCACAGATCTGGGAGTGCCGCAGAGATCTGCCTGTCAGGAGCTTCCATCTGCTGACTGGTTGGCTCCCAGCTCCTGGGCAAATGAGGCTAATAACTAGTAACTAATAACCTAATAACTAGTGACTGTCGAACTCCATGGGTGGCCTTTAGAGTCTGCAGAGTTCTGGGTTGTCTCTGGTGTTCTTCACAGTAATTACTGTAGGCAGTTTTATATGTGGAAAATCTTCAAGCTCAAGACTGTCTAACTCAAGTTTTTTTCATTTGTTCTACGGATGCCTCTTTCACAAATGATTTGCCACATCCAACTTGCCCTGGACACCTGTTACACCCACTGTTTTGTTCTGTGTCCTATGCTCTATGTCCATCTCTTTTTTTTTTTTTTTTTAAAGATAAAAGGAGGGAAACATTAACAGACTTACAACATTTTACAACATATCACAAGCACAATACAGACAATACAGAGTTACAAACAAAGTGGTAGGGAATTAACAATGCTTGTTGTATTACATACTGATATCTTCAAAGTGGCTTCTCATGAAAACAGATATAGACATGCAATACCGGTCAACCAAAGACTCACTGACAGTTTCTTTCAGCATAGAAATAGAAGACAGAAGAACAACCATGTTAACTATCATGTATATACATACATACAAAATTTCTCCTTCTTTCCCTTCTCTTTTCCCACATCCCAGTTGCCCTTTACTCTTCAGTGGTTTCCTGTCATTTCACAGTGTCTATCATACCTCCGAGTTTCCATCTCCTTTTAAGAACATGAGACACCTAAACTACCTCACTCTACTCACCCAATCAACCCTTCTCTGTCCACTTCTCTAGGGCCACTACCTACCATATGACCTGCATTATTTGCCTTTCCAACCTGCAGAATTAAAGCCAGTCAGCCGGCTGGAACCCCAGTGGTCATCCTACCTAATTTACTCATGCACAGATGGGTAACAGGCCCAGAAAGAAGAAGGGACCTTCCCTAAGTCAAGGAGAAACAGTTGTAGCCCTCTTAACTTCTTCCTGAACCTCCTCCCATCACCTCTAATCTGTTTCCTGCCACTTTGAACTTGCTTCTTCATTCCTAACTTCAGTCTTCTGCAGCTCTGTGCCCTGAGGGTACCACCATCCAGACAGCATGCCCTCTTGCTAGTTAGGAGGGAGCTTTTCCAATGATAAGTTTCTTGCCTGTCCTTGTTTAAACAGCAGCCCTTGGATGGAGAGCAGGAAGGATTTTGCCATATTGACTCCTGAGCTAAGGGCCTAGTTGGAGCCAGAAACCTTGTCCCAAACAGAATGGGGGAAGATGTATTTATAGTGAAGGGGGCTGGTTCAGAAATGTTTCATTTGTCTATTTCGGTTTTCTGATATTCCAGAAGTTAGTTTTCTAACTATTAATGATATTTCAGAAGTTAAGTGTTTTTTCAACAACAAACTTTGAGCAATATGGATCAACCTGGAGTGAAATGAAATTACCAGGCACAGAAAGAAAAAGTGCATGATCTCACTCCTGGAACCTAAAGAAGCTGACATCCTAGAAGGAGAGTTGAACAGTGATATCTAGAGGCTAAGAAGGATGTTGAATAGGAGAGGAGAGGGAAGGATCCGTCAATGGGTACAAAGTGACAGTATGATGACTGTTTAATGTTATTGTTTGTGTCTGGGTGTCCCCCCAAAGCCTCCTGCAGTCATGGGGTGGACTACTAGAGTTTATGATTGATCCGTGGTCCAATGCTGGGATTATGGATGTGAGTGCTACACCCACCCTGGGGTGGATAGTTTGCATACAATGTAAGGGAGGGAAAGAGGCTGCTTGCCATACTCCTCCCTTTTGCTCTTGTGGCTTTGCTGTTTGCTGCTGCCATGAACTGTTCCCCTCTGCCATGTTCCACTCTGTCCTGGAGCCAGCCAAGTATGGACTGAAACCTCCACAAACTGAGCTAAATAAACCTTTTCTTCCTTAATTCTGGCTTTGGGTATTTTGTCTCAGTAATGAGAGAAAAGTAACCAAGACAGTTAACAATGTTGTATTGAATATTTCAAAATACCTAGACAAGAATATTTTGTTTTGGTTTGGTTTTTGGTACTGGGAATTGAACTCATGACCTTGCGCTTGCCAGGCAAGTGCTTCTGCTGCTGAGCTATGTCCCCAGCCCTAGAAGAGAGTATTTTGGTTTTTTGGTTTGTTTGTTTTGGTTTGTTTGTTTTGGTTTGGTTTGTTTTGGTTTGGTTTGGTTTTTTTCCCATACCAGGAATGAAACTCACGACCTTGCACTTGCCAGGCAGGCACAGTGCCACTGAGCTAAATCCCCAGCCCCTGAAGAGAGTATTTTCAATGTTCTCCCAACAAAGAAATGATTAATGTTTAAACAATATCTACAATCAAATGAAAATGCAAATACAACTTACCAGAACCTGTGGGACACATTGAAAGCAGTCCCCAGAGGGAAATTTATAGCGGTGAATCCAGAAAACCGAACAAGCACAAATAAACAACCTAATGCGGCACCTCAAGCTT